GCGCTGCTGCTCGTCCACGGTCAGAATAGCGCGGCCATAGAGGCCCTGGGGGTCGGCCATCTTGTGCTCGGGCGCCTGGTGCGGGTCGAGCGGCGCAAACGGCAGGCGGGTGTTCCCCAGCGACGAGCGGCGGGGCGGCGCCGGCGCGGGGGAGGCCTGTTTCGGCTGGACGTCGGGGCGGGATTTGCGGCGCTTGGAGGCCCACAGCATGGGCGGGGCCTGCTCGCGGTCGGCGACGACGAGCAAGGGGGGCTGGGCACCGTCGACGGCGACGGCGAAAAGCTGGCTGGGTAAAGCAGGAATACAAGGGCGGCGGCACGTGGCGATGGTGATGGGGGCTGCCTTTATTCCGCATTGACATAACGTGTCACGACACAACGCTAATCACAGCCATCCCATACCGAGAAACGCGGGTTGCAACAAGGTGCATTCTTGCCGACCACTAATCAGACGGATTTTACGGACTACCCACCACGGACCCGAAATTCGCGGCTGCAAAATACGCGCTGGATTCCTACGCCGAATTAACTTTGCCTATAGTGCTACTCTACCTGGCAGCCTCGGGACCGCACCCTTTAATTGCTAGTCCCTAAACTCTATTTTTCAAAACGTTCCTCGAGTCGAGTCGAGGCAATTTTTTTCTCGCTCGAGTACATGTAATACCCAATATTCTACGCCGAAGGCCCACCAAGTTTGGACCCATCCCATTACCTCTCTCCGCTGACCCTCCCCGCGTCAAGCCTACCTAGTCACCAGCCATACCCCGCTCCTGCCGCACCCCATCTTCTTCGGGCACTTCCGTTCAATCCGCCCGTATCAAATCGACATACACAAGCACTCACCACCCCCCGTCCAGGCACACGCCCCGCCTAACCCCGCCCCCTTCCCTTCATTTTTTCTGGGGGAGGGGGGGTCTAGACCGACCGACGATCCGCCACTCACTATCAATACATTAATCCCAAACAGCCCGAAACCTGACGACGGCAGACGACAGACTGCTGGACGGGCAGGTGTCGGTGTCGGTGGTTGGGTTTCGGTTTCGGTTTCACGCGACTCCCCGCCTCGCCCTGCGCTGCGCCGTGTCGTCGCCCGCTCTACCTACCCTACCCGCGGACAGAAAATCAGATCCAGGCACCCTCGGACCTATAGCTACGGAGAGGCACAGGCACCCCGCTGCCTCGGCCTCGGCCTCCTGGCCTCCTGCCCGTGGCTTTTTTTTCGTTTTTTCGTTACGAAACCCATGGCCTGGACCGTACGCGTATTTCTCGCCAAGACAAACAAACAAATCAATCTGTCTCTCTCTGCAGTCTACCATTTGACCATCATCCCTCTCTGGAAGTCCCCTCCTCGCCCGACCCGACCCGATGGGTACACCCAACTTGCGAAGGCACATCGCAACCACCCACCTTCAGATCTCCTGCACTTTTCGGGAATCAACCGGAACCGGGCCTCGAGTCTGAAAACTTAAAAAGCGTACCACGTTTTTTTCAACTGCGAACCGCGTGCCTTTCGGGCTCCGGAGTCCGCCCACGCGACGGACGGAAGGAGGCCACGCGACGCGACGATCTCCCTCGCAAATCAGACGGAACACGTCGCAGCTCGCTCGCTACCCTACCCGCGAATCAGCGGGTTCTCAGAGCACAGTTTGTTGCGCCCGACCCGATGGGTGTACAGTGTACACACGAAGGTACGCAGCACCCACCCACTCGGGAATCAAGCGAAACCGGGCATCGAGTCTTGAAAGCTTAATCCATTTTCATTCAATTGCGCGCCGCCTTTCGGAGGTCCGCGCATGCGACGCGACGGACGATCTACCTCGCAAATCAGACGGAATATGCCGCAGCTGGCTAGCTACCCGCGAATCAGAATCAGGGGAATGGCGGGCTCTCAGAGTTTGGTCTCGACCTGCGATAGAACGATATCGTATCTACCCGCGAATCAGACGAATTCACGGAGACCGAGCGACGAGTGACACGAGTAAGATGTTTGTTTGCCTCGCGGACTCGTCTGTCCTCCGAGTGGTCCTGCGCCGCCCACTCGACGACCCACAGAAATTTAAAACCAATTCGGCTTTTCGGACTTGGACGTCTTCGTTAAGTTTTCAACCACTGGCATATCTCGCACCAAAAAACATCAACCTTCTCTCCCCCTCTCGTCTCTCTCCATACTGAATCTCCGACCCACCCACCAATCAACCAACCAGCAAACTCAGTGATCATCGTCAACCTCCGCTTCCCCGACCGGATGGGTGCACACACCTTGCGAAGGTACTGGTACACCCACCCGGGAATCAACCGGAGGACAAAATGGGGCATCGCGTCCTACTTGAAAGCTTAATCCATCTAAATCCAACTGCGCGCCTTTCGGACTCCGGATTCCGGACTATTCAGCCCACGCGACGGAAGATCTACACGTACCTAGCCTCGCAAATCAGACGGAATTTGTAGCAGCTACCACACACGAATCAGACGGGATCGCGGACACCGAAGGACGGTTCAGATTTTTGCCTCACGGATTCGTCCATCCTCCGAGTATTTTTCAACTATTTGCTCCTCTCCGTCTTATGACTCTTTTTCTGTTCGGCCGCTTGTCGACTTTTCCTTACAAAACAAGAAGGAAAATCGTCTCCGCTCCCTTTCTGTAAATTTGAACGTACTCTCCGACCAACACGACGACTCCATCCGGCGCAAATTCAGCGACATATCTACCCGCGCATCAGACGGAGTCGCGGGTGACGAGCAATCACGATGTTTGCCTCCGAGTCGCGGACTTGTTCATCTTCCGCGGACACCATTTTACCACCTCGCTCCGAGTGATTCGCTCTCATTACAATTGTACATGGATCTTTCCACCCACTAGTGCTTGGTCTCTTGCTCCCAGAAAAAATCAAATTACTGGAAGGAGTCCGACAACCAAACGAGTACTGTGATTATAACCATCGTTGGACTAGTTCAGCGAAGGACCGACCCACCCGCCTCCGAGTCCCGACTCCCGACTCCCGAGTCAGTCCATCAAGTTTCACCTTCCAAATCGAGGTTCCTCCAAGTTTCAGCTCCCTCGAGGCTCGCTTGTTTAATTTTATCCCCACATGCCACTCCGCTCCCATATGCATTTAATGATGATCCGTGCCTTCGATGCCAATAGAAACCCGCTCCTCGTCGGGCTCGTCGGGCATCGACAATCGATAATCTCTACGCTTAAAAGTTGGCGCTCCAGCTCCGGCACGCGTAGCGCTTCACGCAAGCTTCACGCTTGAACCAGCCGAGCACGTGGTCTGGTTCGATTTGTGTGGCGGTGCTCCCGCTGTCTGTTCAATTTTTACCGTTCGCCGCGGCGCTTGTTGAATTCAGACGTCCCAACACCCAACACTGTGTACCTCTGCGACGAAATTGAGCACCAGTGTCTTCCAGGAGCAAACTCGGCCCACGCGATAAAACCATACTTTAAGTTTATGTCCCCGCGCGCGAATCAGACAGAATCGACACCGCGTCATTCTGATATTCGAACTTCGGGCGCATTCATGCTTTGTCTTTCTTTCAGCCGCCCACGGCCATCTAAACGACCCCCGCCCACCCCTTCCCCATATAATATATCCTCCTCCTCCTCCAAAACCAAAACCGAACTGAACACCACGGCTCTCTCTTCGACTTCCTCAAGGTCTGAATTCGATCCAAACCCAACCAAGAGCGACGTTCTCTGTCCCGTAGGTACCCTTTAGGCTGAGGCTAAGGCTTTCGGTCTATTTGAGCCGATTTTAACCCCCTGGAGGCCCTCGGTTTTATTTATTTATTTCTCACCCTCGCAGCAACGCCCCGCGCTTCACCACATGGCGCCCCGGAAATCAAACGGAATCGTACATAGACACCAAGTGCCGACCTACGCAACGCAGCAGGTTGTATCTATCCGCAAATCGATGTTAGTCGGAATGGCGGACGCCGAACTGTCGGAATGTTCCCTATGCAGGGCCCAGGGCTCGTTTCAACCGCTAGACTTTAGACCCGCTTGACCATCCCGACGTTTCTCTCAAAAAAAAAATAACCGTCTCTTACATAACCTCCAACCACCCTCTGGAAACATTGACAAGGTTCCATAGCACCCTTCCCGTCCATTAGCGACATCCGCATGCGATCGCCCGCAGCCGCACGCTGCCACATGGCGCCCGGGAATCAGACGGAATTATCGCTTCGGGGTCTGTTGTGTTACTGAACATCCCCACTGGCACTTGCGGCTAGTAACTACCTCCGCTCGATCATTCCGACATTCTTCTAATGCATCTCACGTCCCGCAAGAAACTTGAAAGAAAGGAAATTCAAAGCCGAGTCCGACCTCGTTTTTCCAACCATCCAACGACGCTCAGATTCAGCGATACATCACCCATCCGATCCACACGAATGCCCGCCCGTCGGGCTCCGACGGCCTCCGTCGGGCATGCATTGCTAAGCTATGGCTTAGAACCGGGCACGTGCCTGGTTCGATTTGCGTGGCGGTGCTGCTGTTCAAGTTCAAGTTCAACCAATGTTGCACTCCAAGTGCTTTTGTTCTTCGCGTGTTCAGTGGATGAATGTACTCGTGGAGCGTGTTCGAGAGGCAGACGGACAGACAACCTACGCGAGGAGCGCGCACATTAAGAGAATTGTCCAACTCCGCTTCAGTGTCGCTGAGTCCGGCATTAACATTTAATCTCCTCCTACGTCCCGCCGCTTGTTGAATCAACCGCTTCGCGAGATTACCGCCTGATGTATCAACCCCTCGCGGAATTATATCCCCATTACTAGCGTTGCACCAGGTCTATATGTAAGCAGCGCTCGGGGTCGGGTATGGCACGGGCTTGATGGCAAGCAAGGACGGGAGAAGTACTTACGGCGGTACCGAGTACTGACTAATGTGTGTGGGGGCGACGGCGCCGTTTCTCCGCGCTGTGTCGAACAAAGGTGTCCCAGGGCCTCGAACTAAGTTCGACGGGAAGCGGTCTAGGATACCCATTCCTCGGATCTAAGGACCGTCCGATGGCACAAGGAGTGCGTCTGCTGGAAGTGGGCATATGTGATGTGTTTCTGCAGCAGGTCCCCGTTCGATTCGGGGTTGGGCGATTGGTCCTCATTGGATTCTTTTTCTTTGATTATCTTTGCGTTGCGGGGTATGTAAATTCCGTATATGACTGAAATGGTCTAAATTGACAGCGAGAGCGAAACGAGAGCGATCGAAGGATGAATTAATATTGTAAACTACAAGCAAGGGTCCAATGGGCCGAGTCGTTTAAGGAGGATATAGAGCCGTAAACTAAAAAGATGTAAACTTGATCGTAAGAAACTGTTTCTGGGCGAAGCGGGGAAGGAGCTTTGACCACATTTCTGTCAGGAGCTTCTCCTCATCCTCCCGACAAAAGTGACGGATTAAAATTGTCAAGCAACGGAGGGATGGGAATTTCGTTCCCACGAGAGTGCGATCGAGTTGAGACCAATTCATTTGGCTTCGGACCAACTCGTAAGGGAATTTATTGGGGTCTATCAAGAGACTTATCGCTTCAATGCTCGGCGGTAGCTGTGCAAGGATCGTCGGAAAGTGCACCAATATATCCTTCCAAAGGTCGAGCACAATAGACTTGAGCTGTGTGAGCGCTGAAATATATCGCGACTCCAGCAATTGAACTGTGAGGCAACATTAGTCGGCTTATCCTGCTGTGACACATATCTTTCTACCTGCTGTATCATCGTCAGACATTGACAGCCTGATTTCGGAAAGAGATGCCCCGAAGCGATCAATGAAGGCCCTGAATTGCACCGGGTGTGAAGTTGGTAGATCGTTCGGATTTAATGATTCAATGACACCGGAATGGAGGTCAGTGAACCATTTCAGGATGGTTGACGGGAGGTGTCCAGTTTCGCACATTACTAGCTTCGTTATGCTTGAGGGTGGGGGGACCAATGCCTCGTTTGTGCCGAGTAAGTCCGTCAAAGCATCATCCTCCCAACCTCCATACATCTCTCCGCATTCGAGAGTCGTGAGCTCTGTGAAGTTGGATACAAAAGCTGCAATGGTTGACATTGTGAGGCCCCTGGGCCTGTATATGTCCAGTCCCCGAATACCTCGTTTCATGGCTGGCGGCATGGTCCGGTCGATGGCCTCAAAATCCCATTGGTCAAGCGTAAAAAGATCCAACGATGTTAATGCAGTGAATTTGGGCATATGGTGGAGAAAATCTTCCAGCCAAGTGGGCGATAGGAATACGGGAGCGTCGGATCCATCATCTGTACTGCCGTTGATGTCAATCACTTCGACGTGGGGAAAGACAGTGCAGTGTGGGTTGTTCAGAATGGGTACCGGGTCGACCTTGACCAACCAAAACATCGCACTATGCGAGATTCTGGCAAATAGAATCTTCCGTGTGATGAGCATCCAGCTCTTGCATACCAAGGAGAAGGTCTTGAGCGCTTTCTTGTCATCTCGAGCTGAATTGACGATCAAGAAGCATATTTCGAGAGGTAATCGTGGCCCTTTTAGCTGGGGATATGCCGTAAATACGGGGAAAGTACTCAAGCCGTTCCTGCTCACTCGATGTATTTCCTGCCATAGATCTGAGTTCTCATGCTCGAGTGCCGCAATCTTTTTCTCCTGCGCTGCCATACGTGCTTCCAGTTTCACGATGAGGGCATGCAAATCGCTGAGCGTCAATGCCTTTGCTGATTGTGTGGTGCCGCCTTGAGCCGTCCCTTCACATGCTGGTTAAAGGCTTAATCTGTAAGACGGAAAGACGGAATCCACTGCACCTCCGCGAGCTCGGTGGTTCGGTATCGTCTGCGACATGCCCATACGCGGGTACATTGTGTGAGTGTTCTGATCAAGAGAGGGCTTACCTAGCAGATCATATGATACAGTGGGCGTCAATCTTCTGCGCTATCAATAGACTCAAATTTCAGTGCACCTGCAGGTACAACATATTCAGCGAATTAGGATGATAGGATAGGATTGCCGACACATTAGCGCCTTTGTCTTTCTCTTAAGAGACTTGCCGGAGTTTCCTCGGCACCCCATACACGTACGCCTCGATGCGCCACTCGAGCATGTTTCGCCTCCTCCAGGTGTGCGTTGCTTGCACCAGTCAAGATCAGCTTAAGACGCAAAGGCGCCTCTAAGTCGGCAGAAAAGTCCTTGATTTGCGCCGCGGTGAGATTGTTTCCCGTTGCAAAGCCGTAAGAGACTACGGTCGACGATTGCAACTTGAACCGAACGACCTTTTTGACCCGCTGGACTCGATGCGCAAAAGGTTCGAGGGGAGGTACCACCGCTTCAAAGATTGTGATGGCCATGTAGCGCCTGCTGTAGGCTGAACGCTCCGAGGCCTCATGAAGGTTGCGCCTTGAAGGACCTTTGGTTGGAATGAAAGAGCGCGCTATATGTGCTTGTTAGGATTAGGGGTGACCGGCAACTGTCATAACCGAATTTTCTTTGTGGCCGTCTGGTTCCGGACATTTGGAATCCACGGGAAAATTGGAGAGCATTTGGGAATTGAGAGAACCGGCGCCGATCGAGGTCGGCGACGATCGGTGCCTGACGGCGGCACCGGCGGCATCCAAATAATTTGGTGGCCGGCAGTGCCGCCATCAATTGCTTGGTAGCCGCGGCCTTTTAGCCAAACAACGCACTTCCTCCAACAACATGCCTGTCTTCGCTGCACTACAGAGAAGGACCCCGCCCTGAGAACACTCAGCCTAATCCTTCAATTCCTCAAGCTCTCTGCCCACCTGAAGAATGATATTCTTCTCTGCCCTGCACCCTCTACTGTCTCAACAGAGTGCGCGCCCGAATTCTGCCGCCATCGATCGCATCTTTTCTCTCAGACGCGACACGCATTCCATTGGCTGACATGGACACGTGTTGGGATGCTTTCAAAAATGATGTTTGGGAGTATCCGTCAGAGGCACTCAACCAGGGAGATGAGCAAGCCTTCATTGACTACCACTGGGCACGCGGACTCTGTAAGTATAAGCAAAGCCGTTCACAATTGAGGGATGGCGGGAGAAGGAAACGCGTCGGGGGTGGAGGAGGGAGGAGAGCAGCGCGCGGGAGAGCGGGGGCGCTGTCAGTCCAAATTCAAACTCCGACACTTTGCCGCCGTCAGCCGCCGGTTCCCCAAAAAGGATTGGCGCCGGTTCTCCCAAAACCCAAACTTTCACGAAAATTGCTTCAATTGGAATCGAAACAACTTCAAAGATTCCACACACGACTCAGAAGCTCCGCGGCCGACGCCACAACAAGCTGTGGAAGAGGTTTTAACCCCCCCATACCCCGTCGCGGGCAAGTGCGAAGAGGTTCCTTCTCCGCTGGCCCTTCCACGGCAGGCTCCTGTGTCAAGCAAGCAGCGCTCCCATGTCAAGTTAGGGTGGGCGAAACGGTGGACATAGCCGGGTATTGAAGCATGATCTCGGCAAAAAATCTGCCAAGTGCTTGCAGGAGCAATTGTTACTATATTAGTTCAACCTTACTTCTCCCTCACGACTGAGAAGCTTCCGCGCCATAACAGGCTGCCCAAGAGTTTTTTTATTAAAAAAACCACCGTCGCGGGAAAGTGTGAAGAATAGCGTAAAGTGTTCGACTTGTCGCGGGCCTTCCACGGTAGCCTCCTGTGCCAAGCAAGCAGCCTCCCATGCCAAGTTAGGTGGGCGGAACGGAGGGATTCCGTACATAGCCGGGTATTGAAACATAATCCCGGCCTGGGGGTTCCCTTCTGGTTTTACTCTTCGGCGATTTCAACCACCCACCGGGAAGCCAAAATGCCGCCGCGTCGCCACAGTGTGGTCAGTCCAAAAAATGGACGGCCACCTCAGGACCGCTCATATAGACCATGTGCACTGCCCAGCCAAGTATAGCTAAGTATACGGCAGTCGAAAGTTTCCCGTATGAGGCTCCAAAGACGGCCAATCGATTCAAGGGAGAAATTTCACGTCGATCTCCTTCTCCGAGAATAAATAATTTCCCGTCCGCTTATACATACATACATTCATCAACATATACGACCCCAAAACCTTACATCTTGGCTCGGGGTGCATTCGCCGGAAGATCGCGGTACTTGTGATATAGCAGGAGCGACTCGGGGTTCGCAACCATCCCACTGGGTTTGCTTGCCAACCCGGACACGATCTCCTTGACGGCCATCTCGATCCGCTTACCGTTCACGGTATACTAGAAATTGGGAACTGAAGTAAGGAAGAGGAACTGGTGCGCCTCGAACATATCAAGAAACTCACCGGAATATCCTCGACCTCGAAGACAAACTCCGGGACATGCCGCGGACTGAGACCGGCGCGAATCGCGCCCTTGATGCGCGCAATGAGCGCATCGTTCAGACTGCCCTTTTGGCGCATCTTGAGGAATAACAGCACGCGCTCGTCCGCGTCCTGCGGCCGCCTCTGGCCGACACACACCCAGTCGCCGATGGCCGCGGTGAACTGTTCCAGCACCGTATAGATCTCCGCCGCGCCGAACCGGACGCCGGACGGGTTGAGCACGCCGTCGCTACGCGCGGGACGCTCGTATTAGGTGTGGGCGACCCGCGGGGGAAGGTGTCCAGACGCACCTGCGACCGAGGATTTTAAACCCGCCTGTGGCAGGGTTCCGCACGATGAAGTCGCCCTGCCGCCAGATACCTGCACCAATTATCAATCGCCGCCCGAGACGCCAGGGAAATCCAACCACATACCAGGATACATGTTGTAGTACGCCTCGCGATACTTCTTGCCGGAGTCATCGCCCCAGAAGTATAGCGGGAGCGAGGGGTGCGGCCGCACACATACCTAAACGTTTTCGTTTTCGCGTACATGCGACGCGGTCAGAATAAAACACTCACCATTTCACCGGGGACGCCCGTATCCTCGATATTCTTTCCCTGCGAATCGAACACCTGGACGTCCATGCCTAGAGATTTGCACTGCGTCTCTAATTTCGCGCATGAATTTAATGGGTGGCGTTCGTTCAGCTGATGAGGTAGAACTGACCGCCGGCATACACGGGCAGAGCATTGCTTCCTGTAAGGACTTCCATACCCGATGGTGTTCAATATCCCGTGTTTTCGGAGAAGTTGGAATCACTCACA